TGAGAGAAGAGGGGCGAGACAAGGGAAAGGAGACTTTGAGAGGGAGGGACAGGGGGAGATGAATGAGGGGGGATTTGAGTAGTAGGGTTTGGGGTTTGTTCTGGCAGGTAGCTTTGACGAATAGCTCTGCATTGAAGTCTACCTCTTTGAGTATTAATCTACCAAATCATGTCTCCGGATGAGGGATGGAAGAGGTGGACAGTGGGAGGCGACTCACAGAGAATTGGCTGTGCGAGGCTGAAGAAGTTGTTGAACGTGCTATGAAAATGCAATTAAAAATTTGCATACCGAATGCTCAGTATATTGCATAACGTTCAGTGGAAATATGAGAGCGAAATGCCCTCTTTACCCTGAATACAATCACAAAAGATGCCTACATTCTTCATGACATTTAGAAATATCATGCCGCAATTTTGGTCGGTCTATTCAAATGTGGACGATGCTGTGAGGAAGATACCGACGCTGCTGTGGAATTCATTTATTGCCCATTTCTGCTATTGACACTTCCCCTTAAGCTGCTATGTGACTTGAGCTGTCAGAGGGTCTTTTTTGGACCTTTGGCTTACATAGTTCTGCCTGGAAGGCTTGATCTCTTTCCCCCTTTCCTTGTCACAGCCCGCAATCAGCCTTAAGCCCTTTTGTGTTCTCCACTCTGAGCTAAGCCTGTTATCCTGTGCAACTCCTTTACACAAGATCACTACTCTATCCCCCTTCTCTGTCTTTCACCTCTTACACCTTCCCTCTCATTCCCTTTCTCTGTCTGTCTGTCTCTTTGTTTTACACACTCAGACCCAAAAGTAATAGTTCTGAAGTTTCTCAAGGATGGATTAGTACGACTACTTTATATTTATTTAGTCTTGTTCCTGGGCGTCACCTACACACCAGCACAGACAACACAAACTGACACACTGCCCCTCCCAAGTCTCTTTTCTCTCCACCTCCCCTTTCCTCAAACACATGTACTGCCCCTGCCATATTCCCACTCCATACTGCACACACCTGCAATGCGCTCATATATACACACACACACACATCGCTGATGTTGTTTGGATTTATCATATTAGAAAAAAACACCCCCTCCCAGTGCAAGGTGTCAGTTCACTGGTGCATTGCAAACTCCTGTATGTCCTCCTAAACTGCAGGCTCTAGTCCCCCAGGATCTGCTCCTCACATTCATAACACCCCCGCTCCATGCCAGGTGGCTGTCTGCACAAGTCCTCTTCCCCATAAATCAGACTGTCTTTGAGTTGATCAATAACAAGTCAATTAGCAGGCGCTGAGAGATGAGGGTCTCAGGGGGTCACTGCTTGTTTGTCAGGCAGACATCTGCAGCTCCGTCCCTGTCTGCCACGGAGCTAGGTGTGTCGTTTACCTTGGAAACCTGTGGCTGGCTGGCTATCATAAATCTAAATATCAACTATAAATACGCTTGGAACATCTTGCTACAATCCATCATTTGCTTGTTCTTGGATATGTAATGTATCAAGCATTGTGTACTTCAAATCTCCCAGCTGTGTCTGATGGATTTGAATAGGCCTGGAAAAGAACACTTTTTGTCACTATTTGCTCTTCAGCATTTCTTGTGAATATGTATGCTTGTCTCAACAAACAAACAAACAAAAAAACCCTACTATTGCTGTATAAGGTCACACTTGACCATATGCACCAAATATAAGCTGCAATGCCTGCCAGTATTCATCCTGCTCCCCTGTTAAGTTGACAAGAGTGGGAGAGACCCAACTGTTGTTTGGTGCCCACTGACTGTGTATCTAATGACTTGGCTGGCAAATCCAACACAACAGCAACAGGCTCCTGTGGCGAATACACCAGATTAATCCCCTGGATAATTATAAACAAGAATGATCTTGGGCAAATACTCCCCATACCTACTGAGATATTACATCAAATGATGCTGTCTAATTAAAACTCATTCTGAATAGTGACAGAGACAGCATTTGGAGAAATGAATGAAATATGCTGACACTGTAGAGTGAAGAACTGGAGATAAAAACCACAAGGGGCGAACAGTCACACAATACATGCAACACAATGTAGTTACCTTGGAATAAAAAAGAACATATATTTACAGATATTTTCTGGCTTGTTTGACCCACACAATTTAACACTGCATTATGTAATAACTCAATATATAATACATTTCCCTGTGTTTTGCAGTAAATTATTACATATTGTGGTTGTTATTACAATTAGAGTTATTGCTCTTCTCTATGATGAAAATCTAATACTGCATTGTGCATTATGTAATAACCAACCAAAATGGATGTCTTCATCTCTACACATGTTTATTTTCAACAAGACACCATCAAAAAGCTTCAGTTTATACAAAATGCAGTTCATAAAAAAGTTTAACTCCCACATTTTGTAATAGCCACCACAATATGTAATAATTTATTACCAAAAGTGGGAGTTCCTCTCAGTTTTTATTACAAAATGCGAGCATTATTACATAATGAAGTGAAAATGTATTACATTTTTCAGAGTTATTACATAATAAGGTGGTACATGCCACTACGCACCCCTGTAGGTTTTCTTATGTTGCTTTGCTTCTCACTTCTTAAAATGGTAATTGCCAGATGAACACTGAGACTCCAGCAGCTAATTGGTATTCAACCTAATATGACTCACTTGCATCGCTGCCTTTGTCATTTTGATTCACAGCAGTCACCACCTGAATTCCTGGAGCATTACTCACAAACACTGAAAGATGATGAAGAGGCAAGGGAAAAGTCTCAGTGATACAGTAATTATCATGTCAGTAATAACAAAGTCATTTTGTCATTATTATTGTTAGAGTTATCATTATTTTCTATTTTTGTTCATTGATTTCTGCCTTTTTGATACTGGTTTTAGTTTTAATCTGTCTAGCTCATATATCACCCTATTCTTACCCTTACACATAAAAACTGCTACCTCTACACCCACATAACATATAATTAGTGCTCCTGTCAACAACTCAAATAACCCTTTTTGATATCACATATATGAATGTAATAGTTTTGTCTTGATGCCTGGATCATCTACAGACATCGTGTCTGTTTAAGATGTTAACATAAACTTTCTATGTTTTAATAGATCACACTAATGTAAGAAAACATGACTAAAAGACACAAACAGTAACACCTTCCACAAAATGTGTCCTCATTAGAGACCTTTGGAACACCTGAACACGTCTGACAGTCAAAATGACACAAATGACCAAAAATCATCATCAGCATTAACAAGTTGCTGTTGCACTGACTAGTAATCAACTCCTAAATTCATCCATGTATTTGTTATATCTGTGTTTAAATGTTTGGTTTTAGGCAAATTCTAAATCTGTTTTAAAAAAAAGTACAATATAATGTTAGGCAGACTTTCTGTTTATCTGTGAGACAGGGAAATGCATTCATTCCATGATCTGTTGTGTCTCTGCACTAGTAGACCTTTCATAAGTTTAACAGTATCTGTCTTTCTGGCAGAGAGGGGCCACCTGGATGAGGTGAGCCAGCAGATGGATATGAAAAAGGGGAGATAAAAGTGACATATAAGTGTTTCCAGCTGAGGATCAGTGTGGTGTGGTAGAAAGTTGCTTGTTTGGGGTATGCTGTTGGATTCTGTACACACACATGTTTGCAACTGTGCTTTGGGGTTGACCTTGTTTTTTTTCAAATCAGCTGCCTGTATCAGGTGTCAGGAGTTGACTGTTGGGATCCCACCAAAGGAAGGGTATAAATACAAGACACAAGGAGACAGACAGGAGTAATCCCACTGTATGGAGCCACAACTCCTGCCAACAGATGCTCCAAGCTGTGACAGACTCAAACATATACAGTATATGTAGAGTGTAGGGCCTGGCTCCAGGGCTTCCCTTGTGCTCCCATGCGAAGAGGACCCCCAGGGGAGCTGACGCCAGCTGAGACTGAAAAACAAGGTAAGAGCCCAGCTGACACACATGCACACAGGCTCAGCTGTTTGTCTCAAAGGAGAGTTCAGCATGTGAAGAACACGGAGAGCAAGGAAATGAAAAAAACTGGCAGATTCAAGCCTCCCAGGGAGAAAGGAGTATAGCGATAACACTGAAAGATGGATACTCGGAAGATGCTAGAGTGTGTGCACTATAGGTGTGCAATGGTAAGATTGCCTGATTGCTTTATTGTCTGAACTGGTAATGGAACCTAGATAGTCTGGGAGAAGATGAAATAAGGTCTATCAATGCAGCTGTATCATTGATCTTACCTGTGCCATACCATCAGAGTGGTTGGCTGTTGAAATACGACTCCTAAATTGAACAATGTTGTGTTAGAATAATTCTTTATGATCTTTATTCAATATGATGTTTTCTGGTTTTCTTTCCCCTCCTGTTTGGTCAATATCTATGTATTATGAAATAAGTTTCCTGTGTCTCCGATTTTCCCCCCGCATTTAAAATGCCAGTTGGAGGCTCCCGGGGCTCCAATTCTCTCTCCAGCCAAGAAAATGACTAATATAAATGATTGACAGTCTTGCAGGGATAAGGTTGCCCATTTAGCAAACTCGCTGTGTCAAAGGAAAAAAGTCACAATGGCTCCCCTGAGCGATGGGATTGGAGATGAGAGAAATGAAGATTTTGCTGCTGTATCGATCCCCCAATGCTTGTCTCATGCATTTTACACAAGGTCTAAATGCCACTTATGGTATAATACAGCGTTCTAGGTCGGGGCTCACTACACTCTCCTCAGTGGGATTTCAGGATACTTGGTGTATAAATTCAACAGGAATCAAGTAAATCTGTTGGATTGTGTCATGGGCTCAACGCTGAGAAGACACTGGGGATGTCTGAGCATTTGAACCTTCAAATCTTTTCTCTGTATCTATTAACTGGTCTCTCATGGACAGATGAAATTATTTTCATACTTTTGTGATACATCAAACTAAGCTCTCCTCTCCTCTCCTCTTCTCTCCTCTCCTCTCCTCTCCTCTACTTTACTCTCTTCTCCAGGGTGTAAGGTCTAAGTTGAATCATGGCAGAGGAGAGCCTGGAGACAGATAACCCCAGATCCTCCATGCCGGCTGAGCTCCATCATCCCCACTCTAAGTTCTCTCAGTGGAAGTTTAAACTGTTTAGGGTGAAGTCCATGGAGAAGGCACCACTGCCCAGTGAGACACAGCCTGAGAAAGGAGCCTTGTTAGGGATCCCACCTCCCGCAGCTCTCAATATAGAGTTAGATAATGGTGCTAATCCAGGGAGTGTTATGAAATTGTGCCTAGGGGGAAAAAGCAAGGAAAATGTGGAGAGCCCGAGCCGGAGGGTAGATGTGAAGCTACAGGAAATGGACACCCATATGAACCATCTCAGGTGATCAAATGTCACTATACTACATAAACTACAATATTATATGTATTTCTTTCCTAGATTTTGACAACATTGATTTTCCTTTATAAAGGTGCTTCTGCCGTCTCTGTGGAATGGCCTTGAGAAAAGTCAAAGGACCAGTGCACGATGTTCATGGGGATCTGGATGAAGTAAGCAAAGGTGCCCTCCGTAGAATGGGCTGCAAGTTTGCACGCTGGGCAGAGGTCATCCTAAAAGTCTTCAAAGTGGATGTGACAGAGGACACAGAATCTGTCCACCCCCTTTCCTTCTGCCATCGCTGCTGGATGGCTGCCATACGAGGAGGGGGCGTCTGCAGCTTCTCCAAAACAAGAGTCCCTGAGTGGAGACCCCACTCTTCCCTCTGCCACCTTTGCTACCCCAGAAAACCTTCATTCCAGCGAACTAGGAGGAAGAGGAGGAAAGCTATTCCAAGAGCCCAGAGCCTGGCAAAAAGGACCAGATGGGACCATAGTGACAGCATTTCAGTTGGTGAGAGGAGGGTTCTGAGACCATTTGGAGACCGTCATCATGGTCCTGTGCTCAGGGCCTGGAGGAAACCCAGCACCCAGAGAGAGCAGTGGGTGAAGAACATCACCCACTGCCAGAAAGACCACCTGAGTGTCAATCAGATTTCTGAGAAGCTCCCTGTAGATTTCCTCTTTTCTTTCACCTGCCTGGTGTGTGACCACCTGCTCTCTGATCCAGTCCAGTCCCCCTGTGGGCACCTCTTCTGCCGCAGCTGTATAATAAAATATAACTACGTTCTGGGACCTCACTGCCCGGCCTGCAACTTGCGCTGTACCCCTGATAATCTCACCTCGCCTGCCAAAGCCTTCTTATCAGCCCTACAATCCCTGCCTCTGCTCTGCCCCAAAACTGGCTGTGGCAAGCAGGTAAGGCTAGATTTATTTAAAGCTCACAGTGCAGACCATGACCTGGATGAACAGGATGCAAACAAGCAGTCATCAGAACTTGACAGCTACCTGCTAACCAATAAAGGAGGAAGACCCCGTCAGCATTTGCTATCCCTAACACGTCGTGCCCAGAAGCATCGGCTGAGGGATCTGAAGAACCAGGTGAAGGTGTTTGCAGACAAAGAGGAAGGTGGCGACCTGAAGTCTGTGTGTCAAACTCTGTTCCTACTTGCGCTAAGATCTGCGAATGAACACCGGCAGGCAGATGAACTAGAGGCCCTGATGCAAGGTAAGACGCTAGTATAAGGCTTTTGCTCAATCAATTTAATTCTGTTCAATTCAGTAGGCTTTATTGGCACGACTTTTGACACGAGCTGCCAAAGCTCAGCTACGATCTTGACAGTGTTAAAGAATGTAATTAACAAAAACAATGTGAAGAGAAATAGTAATGAAATAAAATAGATAATGAAATAATACATATATATCTCAAGTACATAAGCCATCAAGTTATTATTTAATCAAATCAAGTCATTATTAGTAACATTTCAGTGTGACAAGAAAAGAAAAAATAAAACAAACAAACAAATAGAGATGGTGTAGTGTATAATATAATGTGTATTTATAAATGTGTGTCTATATATGTCTATGAGTTTATGGCAGGAAGTGACTTATTTGGCAGCCAACACTGCACATTCTTTCTTTTCCCCCAGAACAATGGGTTTTCCCTTTCTGTCAGACTTCAGAATTCAGGGCTTTTTTTTTTTTGGAAAGAATTCCTCCCCAATTTATATATATTGGACATTCTGTTAGAAAGTGTAATTCTGTCTCTACAGCTCCCTCATCACAGTGACAGCACAGCCTGTCTGCCTATGTCAGCCTCTCTCTATGGTCACTCTGTACATTCTCAATGTCTCTCTCAGGTTGTTATCAGTTACCGTTGTGTGTGTGTCTGCAACAGTATAGTGTATGTTTAGGGCCTAATATGTTTACAGCTTATATCGTGACTGTGTAATATCATTCCAATAAGCAATGCATTTATCTTTTTCTTTAGCTATAATTTGGTTAGAGATGTGTTTTTTGTGGTGTCAGACAGCCTCAGGACCAATTGGCTGAGGGGACTCCTTTCTACGAGCAACTTTTGGTAGGCGAGGGCTTTATAATGGTAACAGGCAGGGACACTTTTTTTTATATGGCTTCAGAAATTGTATATTCAGAAGTAAAGGATATTGGCCTAATTTAGCCCTGCATGCATTTAATTTGTACCCTGAGAATACTTTTGCACAATTCCGAATGACAAGAAAGAGGGACACAAACAAATGGAAATTATGATAGTGTTTTCTCATTAATATTTCTGCCTACCTCTGATGAATACAGTCATCTCATAAATATTCCAATTGAAACGTTCACTATTTAGGAGAGAGAAGAAAGTTTTCTTTTTGATTGAAAAGCATTTAATTATTGTCCATCTCTGTTAATTGAACCACCGCTGTTACACGCTCAACCCCTTTCTGATTCTCTCCCACCCCCACTTTCAGTCTGTTTGTCTGTCAGTCCCTCAGTCTCACACTCCCCTTAATGCACAATAACAACACTTGTGAAGGGGCTGTTAGAATCAAAACAACATCAGCAGCTCTTGTATCTGCAAATTACACAGACAGCAGCATCCTCCTCTCTGGGGAATTGAAGCCAGCTGGTGTCTGTTTTCATCTGCAGCCAATACATCACTTTTGCCAGCTTCACTGATTCACCCTCTGTCCCCTTATAACATTTGGAAATTAGGAAATATTGGATTTTGTAATCATAGGCTTGTGGGCTTTTGACAATGATACATTCACATTTGGGTGTTAAATGTGTGATTCTCTCTGTCTCATAGTATAAATGACTCCAAATGCAGGATATCAAATGAGGAAATGTTCGATACTGCAGTTCTTTTCAAAGTACTAGAAATGGGCTTCCACAGTTTGGTGTTAAATAATTCTCTTCAAGCTTTTCTTCTGACTTTACTTTTTTCTTTTTTAATTTAGCCTCTTTCTGTCTCCCTAAAACTTTCTCTCTTCTCATTTTCTCTCTCTCTCTCTCTGCAGGCAGAGGCTTTGGGTTGCGTCCTGCTGTGTGCTTGGCCATTCGGGTGAACACTTTCCTGAGCTGCAGCCAGTATCACAAGATGTACCGGACTGTCAAAGCCACCAGTGGCCGCCAGATTTTTCAGCCCCTGCACACCCTGCGAGCTGCAGAGAAGGAGCTTCTCCCTGGCTTTCACCAGTTTGAATGGCAGCCAGCTCTCAAGAATGTGTCTACATCTTGCAATGTTGGCATTATTAATGGGCTCTCTGGATGGGCTTCCTCAGTGGATGAGTCCCCAGCTGACACCATCACTCGGCGGTTTCGCTATGATGTGGCACTGGTGTCAGCATTAAAGGATCTGGAGGAGGACATCATGGAGGGGCTGAGAGAGAGTGGGATGGAAGACAGCGCTTGCACCTCAGGCTTCAGTGTCATGATCAAGGAATCTTGTGATGGCATGGGAGATGTCAGCGAGAAGCATGGTGGAGGACCAGTTGTTCCTGAAAAGGCTGTACGTTTCTCTTTCACTGTTATGTCTGTCTCTGTCCTGGCAGACGATGAGGAGGAAGAGGTTACCATCTTCACGGAGCCAAAGCCAAACTCAGAACTGTCCTGTAAGCCCCTTTGCCTGATGTTTGTGGATGAGTCAGACCATGAGACACTCACATCCGTCCTGTGGCCTATAGTTGCAGAGCGTAATTCCATGAAAGAGAGCAGGCTCATCCTATCTATGGGTGGACTACCTCGCTCCTTCCGCTTCCACTTCAGAGGCACGGGATATGATGAAAAGATGGTGCGTGAGATGGAGGGCCTTGAAGCATCAGGGTCCACCCATATCTGCACTCTTTGTGACTCCAGCCGGGCAGAGGCATCTCAAAACATGGTTCTACACTCCATCACCCGCAATCATGAAGAGAACCTAGAACGTTATGAAATTTGGAGAACCAACCCCTATTCTGAGTCTGTGGATGAGCTGCGAGACAGAGTCAAAGGGGTCTCTGCCAAGCCCTTCATGGAGACTCATCCCACGCTGGATGCATTACACTGTGACATAGGCAATGCCACTGAGTTCTACAAAATCTTCCAAGATGAGATCGGGGAGGTGTTCAAAAAGGTCAACCCCACCCGGGAGGAACGGCGCAGCTGGAGGGCAGCCCTAGATAAACAACTGAGGAAGAAGATGAAGCTTAAACCGGTAATGAGGATGAATGGGAACTATGCCCGCAGGCTAATGACCCTGGAGGCTGTGGAGGTGGTGTGTGAGCTGGTGCCCACAGAGGAGAGGAGGGAGGCCCTGAGGGAGCTTTTAAGGCTCTACCTACAGATGAAGCCTGTGTGGCGTGCCACCTGCCCAGCCAAGGAGTGCCCTGACCAGCTGTGCCGCTACAGCTTTAACTCCCAGCGCTTCGCCGACCTCCTCTCCTCTACTTTCAAATATAGGTACAATGGAAAGATAACCAATTACCTGCACAAGACCCTGGCCCATGTGCCTGAAATCATAGAGAGAGATGGATCCATAGGAGCATGGGCCAGCGAGGGGAACGAGTCGGCAAACAAACTGTTCAGGCGTTTCCGGAAGATGAATGCTCGTCAGTCAAAGGTTTTTGAGCTAGAGGACGTGTTGAAACATCACTGGCTCTACACCTCCAAGTACTTGCAGAAGTTTATGGAAGCTCACAAAGACTCTGCCAAAGCTCTGCAAGCTAGCATTGACCCAGTAGAGAGCCTGGAAGATGAGGACATGTCTCTGGAAGTTGTTGATTTTTGATTTGTCTTTTCATGTGAAGTCTTAACATTTTATTGATTACAAGATAGTTGTATAATGTTTTAATTGCCTTTATCAGTAATATGGGCTTCTTTACAAATTCTTAATATGCTTTCTATACCCACGGATTTATATTAAGAATAAAAGAATAATGGAGCCAGAGGCTGGACTTAAAGCCAAGATTTATCTATGATTTTTCCTTATTTTGTTGTGGTTAAGGTATATTTGCAAATAAAACAACATAAACAATACCCTCTATTGTTGGATATACAAAAGACTTTTTGATTGAATAACAAGTTTCTTGCACTTGAGTAATTTTGAAAATGTTATGGAAAATAATAAAATAATGGAAAATAATAAAATAATGGAAAATAATTCTCGCTTTTTACCTTTTTTTCTTGTTTACCTCTTCTTGTACTGTACTGCCTTGTTGTTGAAACATTCTTCACATATACATTCACTTTACCCTGCTTTCATAGCAGTTAGTTACTACAGTGTACAGGTGGGACAGCAGAGGAATATAAGAAACACAGGTTTCTTTTCTCTTACTCTAGCAGCTTACTCTTTTTTTTAAATCTTTACCGTCTGTGAAATATGGAGCAGTTTATTGTATTGCAAGGATATGACACATTTATGAATTTATATAGAGAGGATATTTATGGAAACAGATGAAAGCGCTGTAAGTCATGGAGGGAAATTGTGTTAAAAAGACCACATTTGTGGCCACTGTATTAATATATCATTTGAGCTGGAGCAAAATGCAATCACAGAGACCCAAATGTTCTTTGTTTCATGAGTGCCCTCTGAAAAAGATTACTTTAGTGCTTTATCTTAGGATCCCTGAGGGGCAGAATAGATGCCAGGTCACTTTGAACCAATTTTTATCTCTTTTAGTTTTTGCACAGTGGAGAATAGATGATACTTATTCGAATCCTTCACATAAAATAAAGCATATACTGACCTTTTTGTTGATATCATAAAAATACAGTATGGTCCATTACGAAGCCTAATACCCCATGGACTCTCCAACAGGCAGGCATTTTTCTTAAGTTCTGTATATAACCTGGCTCTTTTTCTCTGCTGATATTTCTCCATTGCCGTGGTTGACAGAGGAGAGGGATGAGCGGGAGCTAGAAAGACCTGATATAAACTGATTTGTTGGCAAGTTTATTTGTTTGATTGATTGATTGATTATATTTGCTGTTTCTGCCCTTACAATTTTGAATTGTGACAGGCAATTTAGTTTTCTCATTTCATTGAATGTTTGATTTTATTTTACTGTCATACGTTTAACCACATGACAGCTGTAAAATATTCACATTTCATCCATAGTTGTCACAGCCCTACAATAATATCATGTTTTAGAGTGCATTATATTGCAGCAGTTTTTTTTGCCATTATGAATTCCATTTCCAAAATAATGGATGATGGATGATTCACTGAAATGTACTTGTTCAATGTTCACCATGTATTTCCTCTTTTTTGTTTCCATATTACACTAAATATCAGGTAAACTGTTTACTGGGGTTACAGAAGATTTGTTTTTAGATGCTATACAGTATTCAGATATTTCTGCTGTATTTTCACAGAAACAGCCAACTTGCTTACCTTTTAATAAGTTATGGTGGATGGAGTTTGTACTAGTTTGTCCTTGTTTCCTCAAAAATAAATAAAGTTAAAATTTGATTTGATCTTTTGGTTTGTTTTTATTGAGCAAGTTATATTTGATTTTGCTTTTTATTATGCATTAATAGCACCAAATTCAGGTACATTTGGTCCTGGAAGACTGCACTCATAATTACCTATTTTCACTGTGGTCCTGGAATACAAAATAACAATGAACTGTTACACAGCTAATGAAAATGCAAAGTAGAAACACAGCAGAGAGATATGCTAAAGCTTCAAGATTTTCTCTCTCATAAAGATTGTGAAAGCCCTTTAAAACGATCTAACTGACTGCATATTTATTTATGTTTTATTATTATGTATAGTATATTAGGTATAATTCAATTATGATGTATTCATTTTAAAAACAATTTATGAACATTTGGCCCTGGAAGCTAATGTTAGAAAGTCTTCATTTAATGCTTCACTTTCACTGTGGTCCTGATGGAATACAAAACAACTTCAAATTGACATAGATAACTGATAAAAGTACAAACTAAAAGCACTTTCAGAAATAGAAAAATAATTGTTGTCACATTTTGTTTGTTTGTGACAACACATTAGAAATAAACAGGTATGAAGACATAGAATTTGAGGCTGTTTATTGTTTATTGTCATCACAAATGTCACATCATATCAATATGTTTGGTATTTTTCATTCAATTTATTATACATTTAATTGTAGAAAGTACTGTAAAAAGATTGCAGCTCTATTGGCCATGGAAGAAAATGTTAGGTAGGTAGGTAAAGTCATTTAATGGAATACGAAATTAAAAATGGACTGTTGTACAGTTAATAAAAATACAAACTACAAAACACTGTAGACAGACTAAAAAGGTATGTTTTATAAAACAATGTAAAATTGTATTGAAAATATATGTCTTTTAGACATGAAATATCAGGTCACAATTGTATTGTTTATTCACATATTGTGTATTCTTCATCATCATCATCATCGTCATATACTTACTTAATATAAAACAAGACACCTCTTCATGACATTATTAACAGTGACCATCTACACACGCCATAACTAAAACAGGATTCAGTCAAAAAGTCTTCTGAAAAAGTTTTTTTTGGCAAGGGACATCTTGATTATCGGAGTTTTCCTGTCCTTAACTTTCATGGGGGTACGCTTCAAAGGCATGACCTGTCGAGGTGGGGTCATCTCCTGGTAAGGCAAGCCTCCATGGTCCAGGCAGAAGTACTTTTTGTTGCCCTGAGAGAGCCTTAGCAGCAGGGTCTCAGACAGCTCCATACACTGGGCATGGACCCAGTGCCCACCCTCCCCCCTGGAGCAGAAGATCATGGCTGGTCGGTGGAGCTCAGTGGAGTAGAATGGCTCCCACTTGTTGGGGTCCAACTGACAGCCCAGGCAGCATTTGATCCAATAGCCTGTTCGTGATTCATCTTCTTCATCGTCCTCATTGTAAGTATCCCCTTCTCCATCACTGCTGTCCTCCAGCTCATGTGGCTCACGACCAAAGTAGAGCTCCTCAGAGTCTTCAAGAGGAGTGGAGTCATCGTAATCTGTTGACTCCTGGCTGCAGCCCTGGGTTCCTTCTTCCTCTTGGCCTTCTCCCTGTGTCTGGAAGCTCACCAGATAAAAGTAATGCATATCTTGTTGGCATGGCCTTCCCTCAGTGGGTACACCAAGTAGGACGCTTCCCTCTCCGGCACTGCCGCCAAACCAAGTACGACTATGGATGATATCTGGGATCCAATTTGGTGGTTCCAAGGGCTCAAAGTGGATTCCTTTCTCATCCAGAATCACAGTGCTGCACTCCATCCTCTTCTGAGAGTCTGATTGATACCCACCTAAGATGATATATCTGTGAGAAGGACCTGTACGGGTGATTATAGCACTAGAGATGGATATGCCAGTGTCCAGAGTCTCACAAGAAAGCAAGGGGCTGCCCTGCAGAAGCTCAATGCGCAGGCAAAAGAGTCGAGGGGGGCGGGAGTCAGAGGTGAGCGAGTGACCCCCGAGGAAGTAGACGCAGTTTTCTCTGGCAAAGGCCAAATGGAAAGACTGTCCATCGCTGAGTTCAGGTATAGTGTGAGCAGAGGAGCAACCAAACTCCAAGTCAAACAGGAACACCTGAGGAGGACAGTCGACGACACTGTTCCAGGTCTCTGTGGTCCGCTCTCCTGCAGGCATGTAGGATCTACCCCCAAACAATACACAAGCTGTCTTTCCTCGGCTTTGAATCATGCTCATTGTGTGGCCGTATCTGGCCCCTGGCAGTTCTCCCACCAGTTCTTTCTCTTTGCAGCACAAGGTCAGTTTACGATTGCAACCACGGCTATCCATGGTCAGCAGATACAGACTCGATGAGATCTCATTATTTGGGGTGCGGCCCCCGTGGATGAGATAACTCTCTGGAAGCCCATCATAGGGGTCGAGGCGGCACACAGCTGGACAGCGTAATGGAGGAAGATAGCATGAGTCATTGGAGAAGGAGATGGCCCTCAACTTCATCTCACCACATTTAACCCGAACCCCAAATACCCCTGTTGGACATGAGCGCTTGGGCCATCCTTTCTGGCCAAACAAAAGAACTTCACCATCCAGCTGTAGCAGAGAGCAGCCGGGCTGTAGGAGGCCTGCACAGTTCACTGGAGTTAATGGTTGCAGGGTCATTTTCCAGCAGGTGCCTGCGTCAAAACAGCACACAAACACAATATGTCAGTCAGCTGTTGATTGTTTTCATTCAGGGTTTTAAATCTTTACTTCCTGTTTATTACAGTAACACCTGGAGGACCATATTCCACGCAATCATAATATGCACTATAAACCCCCAAAAATTGTAAATAAGGGCAGTCTCCATTATTAAAGATGGATTATAACGGCTACTGATATTTTGACATAAATAAATAAAAAATTAAAATGAAGGAAAATAGTCCTAGTAACAAAGAAATAACATGAAATAAATACCACTGATTACTAATACAACAACCACAACTACTACCACTACTACTGCTGCTACTTATTATCATTATGTTCATATGAAAGAATTTGTAGAAGGTAAACTGGACTTTTCTCAGACTCATTTTGCCAAGATGTTACATTTTGGTGATGCATTGGACAAAAAACATACATTACTGACACACCACGCTGCTGATATTGTTTGGCAACACAATGTAACTCTGCATTTTGATTCCTTAAGTCAACCATTAGCAACAATATATAATTACACACACACATAAGCAAGAAAAAGATGACCTCTTCATAGTACCACTTTTCAACCACAAACAAAACCTTTGTATCTTTGAATCAGAACCTCAGTGTCTTGTCTTGTCAGTGACTCACACACTTTTTGGGAAATGCTTACATGATGACAGCACTGCAAGCTTTTGGGTTACATTTTCTGGTACAACAGTGTCAGTTTCATTATGAAATGATTGGACACTGGCACAGCATGGACTTTTGCATTAGGTACTGGTATTGTGGATTTTACCTTTGAATCCGAACACATTTACTGAAGTAATTTTCCAATTTAATTATTGATATATCTGTTTTGGAGTTTATTCTGAGCTAGACTGGGGCAACAGTTGTGCCATTATTATATCAAGTGAATGTTATACAATTCAGTTATAGCATGTAATATAATATAACGTAATTTCATTAGCTTTAATAGCAATATTTATCCTGCTGTGGACAGTATGAGTCACTTCAATGTTTTAATGTTTGACTATGTTTTACAGTCAGGAAGATGGTTACACATAGACTCTACAAGTTAGTTAACAGTACAACGTTAGTTTAAAAAACCCAAGAACTGCTTCCTTTTACATTTACATAATTACTTAATTACATATTTTTTAGCTTGCTTACCTCACGGCCAGGGTCAGGATGCAGTACTTGAGCTCACTTTAGTATGAGTCTTACAATCACTAAGATCAACCTAAATCACTCTTTACGTAGCTGAACTCTGACAAAGGCAGACGGTGACAGAGTTTGTGAAGCTTCGTTGACTCACAAACACTTCCATATCTTGAGGTTAACAGTCTGTGACTGCTGCTCACTGGCAGGTGTGCTGCCTGAATGCATTTAGTGAGTCACTTCAGTGATATCACTGGATATCAGTTATACCAAGAAAGATACAAAAGGGTATTGTGAGACTCTAGTCTGTTGAACAATCCTAACTTGTACAAGAGAATGAGACACACTGATTTGCTTTAACACATTGCTCTCTTTTAAGAAATTTCATTTTTACATTTATTTTGTAAATTGTGTAATACACATCCAAAACTGGCTTTTCAAGTAATACAGTAAAAATAAATAATATGCTAAATAGTAATAAACTGATGTTCATGACAGTCTAGATAACAACCACGGTGGGAAACATGATCTACATTGTGGAGGAAATGCATTATGAAAAAATGTCTTAAATTTGTCCAACTTGTTCATTTTTTTATTTCCATCCAACAGGACACACCTCTGATGGGAGGTTAGATAATATAAATACATAGAAAGCAACAGTGTTTTTGCTGTCTATGCTATTAAGTCCTTCAGACCAGCTTAATTGTTAGCTAGTTTTTTTTCTGGAAATACATTTACCAACTTTATGAGACAAACTAAAATATCTATGTTTGGAATAATCCCCCTATTCAACCATCTTAATTATTGTATTAACCAATGCAGATGCAAACAGCCATTTAATTCAATTTAATTAAACTTTTTATTAATATGCTTTAAACATCTGAAATTCCTTAGAAATTACAATTATTATAATTATAACAATTATAATTATCTAAAATCATTTTTTGACCGAGGCTTGGACTCCTATTTTACACAATTTTACCAAAACTGATTACGCGACCTACAGTAATCAAAGCTTTTCTTTAATTATGATACTGATCTGCCATTCATATCCAGAAAAACAAGTCAAGGGCAACCACTTCTAGGGTGAAAACAGAAATATTTATTCAACACTGCTTTATGAGAAAGAGTATGTCCTATCAAACATAGTATGTCTATTTTCTATAGGTTTACTGTACATTCATTCACATTTTCAGCTTTGCTACTGTAGCATTAACTAAAAACTGTGTTTTTGTGTCTGATGCATCTCCCATTCCCTTAGTTTTCTTGTGCTTTGCCTTCACGTGAAGATGATGATTTTCCCTCATGCTTTACTTATTTTTGGCATCAAAAACGATCTGATCCTTTACACACTGTCAGTTTGCTTTTAAACCTAGCTAAAAAAGCCCTGTACATATTTTAACTAAAATGGCTATTAGTTGCAGCCTGCCTTCTCCATAAATACTGTCCTTCAGCGCTGAATGACATGCTGTACTGGCAGTGTGAGTCATTAATTCACACAAAGAAACAAAACATCATTCTAAAACAATGATGAGTACATTCTAGCAGCAGGTACAGTCTGAAATTCCTCTGTATATGTCTCTGTTTTATAGATTTGACCTACTGTGGGTAAAAGCATCCCCTATATGAGTGACACACATGCCTAAACACCTAGAGAAAAACTGAGCTGGAAGCAGATGTCTACTAATTCATTAGCATAATGTTTTTGTGCACTGAGCGGCTGAGAGAAAACTTGAGGAGTGTGCAAAACAAAGGCAGAAACCACAAGTGCCTGGAAGACCGTTACAGCTTGAAAACACAAAACAGCAGAGCACCTGTGTCTCTAAACCGATGCTTATAGGGCTGAGTGGAAGAGAAAAGACTCTCTTGTTACTAGAGAGGATATAACGCATGAATTCAGATGTCAGTGGGATATGCAGAATGGCTTTTCTTTCCTCTTTATTTTTTAAAGAAGAGTTCCATCCGTATGAATTCAGCCTTGGAAAAATAAACCATTCTAGTCACCGCAAGGTATCCACACAAAGCACTGTCGAAAAGTACAGACTGCTATATGTAGCCACAGCTGGGATGGTGCACAGAGTGAGTAGGAGGCACAGCGGTGTGTGGCAGACCCCAGGCCATGCAAGGATTTGTACATAATTGATAGAACAAAGTAATTAGAATCTATGGTAGCACCTGTTTCTGTCCCTTGTAATGTATCACTACCTGACTGTTGCTACCCTGAAGCGCGGTTTTGACGGATGGCATGGTGACAGCTCTGATGTTCTGACGATCACTGTGCAGTGGTGTTTATCACTATTTAATGTTACGGTAATTGCTCCCCTTGTGGTGATTGGTACTGAGTGCCGGTGGGGCACTTCCACCTCACTCTGGTTAATATTGCTGCGCTGCTGTGGTTATCATCTGGTGAGAGGTGATCTGTAATACCACAATTTAGTTTTTATATTCAGAATCATTGTTTTTACACTGTAACAGTCCGTCTAATTCCCAACCATGTCTCCTAATATTTATGTTCACATACTGATATCTTTCATCAGCAAACTCATGTATTAGGGACACCTTATGCCCCCAAGTGTTTGCTATTTGTTAACATTAAAGGAACTCGAAGCAATTGGTCTTAAACTTAGTTGAAGCTGCACTAATCAATGTTTGTATTAACAATGGAAAATATGTGAAATCGCTTGTAGTGACAAAGCCAGTAAATAATTATGAGCTGACTCTACACCTCCCCTTTAGCATTTTTCAGTTTGTTGTCTAGGTTTTAGGCAACTTGCAACTTTAATGTTTCACTCATCTCATATCAGCCGGGTTCCCTGTCAAGGCAGGCAGCTGTTTTTATGAAAAAGCTCTGATAAACCAAATGTGTACTACCTGCCCAGCACCAAACAAGAGACACACAATGTTGGCGACCATAGTGACAATAGTGGAGCGTTTAGCAGTAAAAAAAAAAACAAGAGTGACTTACATTCATCCGGGGGCTAGAAACACAACTAATTAAACGCTAATGTTGCTCCATGTTTGATGTGTTAATAGGCCAGGAAGGTCATTAGGTGTCTTAGTGGCCTATAGCAAGTGTGTTGCAACAGGGTATACAAATCCTGTTCTCTTATGTCAAAGTCCTGTGCCATGTACTTGCACTTGTACATGCATTGTAAGCCCACTAACAACCCTTATCCTCTTACTTCTGTCTGACTTCCTAGATTGGATAAAGCGCTGCCAGTTAACACAATCCGGGAATATGTTTCCTCAAAATATATTTGGCAAAGCAAATCACTAGTATATAAGAGAATCTTGCAATAAATAGGGGTGTTGAAGCAACAATGCCCTTCCATGCTCAATGTTCCTTTGTTCCAAATCCCTCTTCTTCTTTCATCTTGTTCCTATTGTTCTTGGATTCCCTGCTCCACTAAATGTGTTTCTCCTCTTTTATCCTCTCTCTGTGTAGGTGAGCAGCAAGGTTTGGTTGCCTTGGTAAGTGGCAGGATGCCAGGCGTGCAGACTGCCTCAGATACCCTGGCATCAGACCAGATGCTGGTGGAAGCCCTGGAGTCTTTTCTGCGGCTCCACTGAGCTCTTCTAGGTCTACTTCATTTAGCTGTCTTCAGGACAGTGTCAAAGTTCATGGGTTGTGACTGTTATATGTTGAACAGGTGACCTAAAGCCATGTTTTAAGCTGATAGGCTTAGATCTGCCCTCACCCTGCCTCTCTATTTTCCCAACAGGGAATACTGTGAGTAGACACAGGACAGCAGCCCTGCAACTAAACTAAGTCCCGAGGGAGATGGAGAGATCAGGAGACGGAGCAGGAACAGAGTGGTCAG